ACTATCCCTGAGGAGGATGTGGGAAATGTGTTTGGGGGTTGGTGTGGAACATGGGTGGATGGAAGTGTGAGGGAATGGGGGGATGGATATGTAAATACAAGTAGTAATTAAAGAATTTAAATAAAAATACCATGTATAACAATACTTAATAAATAGTTTAATTTGTACTGAAACAGCCTCAGTACTGGGAAAAAAACTATTCTGAAACTAATACAGATTTGTCTACACCAGCCTCTCCGATCCTCTGATTAATGGCATGAAACATCTTGCTGTTGGGATTTCATTGTCTGAAATGATCAAGGATTAGAGGTATAGTAGCCTCAGTATGTGACTCTAAGTCAAGAATTCCTCCCATGTATCCAGATTTCTCTTCTTCTTTGCCAGTGTTGCTCAGAAGTTGTTTGTAGATTTTGAGCAACATCTGCGATTTGGACTACAGCTGCGGTGGGAATTTGAGCTTTCATTGAGAATGGAATTTCAGCTACTTCTTGATCAGTCTTGGTTTCGGATACTGTGAGTTCAGATGAGTCAGAAGATAAAGTTAGGGATTGACTGTAAAGTAAGTCTTTGTAGGTAGTACACGTGGCAACCTCTATGTCCAGAACATCATGTAGAGAAGCTTGTGGTCTGGGGTTGAGAGTGGGAATGGATCCCACCCTGGGTGAGATGGTAGAAGTGGACTCTTCATTAGCAGAAGCCAAGACAGATGTGAGACATAATGAATCGAATGCCCCAGCAATGGCTTTAGAGCATTCATTTGACGTTAGCATGAATTTTTGAATATTCCTGGATTCTACCTTTTACACTTAGCATTTTGTTTCTTTTTTAATAACAAACTGAAAAATAGATTTCTTCTTCAGATTATGGAGAACATAGATAATTTTACATGCCCTGGAGTTTTCCTTCTGGTAATGCAGACATAGGTAGAGTATTTGTTATTAAAACCAAGAAACTCTTAGAAGGCAAAACATATTTGCTGTTCAAAACTAAGACAATCTTAAGAGGCAAAAGTGAATAGTATAAAACACCTGTAAATTAGTTAAATTATTAGGAACATCACTACTACAAGTACCTATAACTGAACAACATAGGATTTGGCCTTTAGAGCAAGGTCCTTCCTTCAACTCAGTGCTGCTATACACAGGAGACCAGAGACATAAGCAGCTTGAGACCCAACTATGGAACAGATGCCTTCTTTTTTTCTTTTCTACCCCCTTATATTTAAAACCATCATGCTTTGTAGCCTAGGATGTCTTCAAACTTTTATTCATTGAGGCAAAGCCTCACATAGTGCAGTTGTTTTCAAGCTTGCTATGTAGTTGAAGGTGGCTCTTGCACAATCTCCTGAGCACTAGGATTACAGGTGTGCACCACCACACTTGCCTAACCTGGAACTCTTCACCCATTACCTCTATCTACCACTCTCAGGTGCTGGCATCACAGGCTTTAACCACTGCACCATGCTCTTAAAGGGCACTCTTGAGAGGAAGACAGCCAAAGGCTCTTTCCAACTCTAATTGCAATGGATGACTTTTAACCTTAATCCACAACTGTATGCTGTGTCTTGCTCACTTTGTTTATTTACTGTGGAAAATGATTTTGAGAATTCTGAAAGCTTTATTTGTAGTGTACAGCATTACTATTTCCTAAAGGCTTGAGCAAGGGATCTATGGATGAAACAAAGAAAACACAGCTGGTCACTCAAGAAAGAAGAATGTGAATTTTATTTAGAGGGGAGTTGACTTATCTACCATCAGCTGAGCCCTAGGAAGAAACTCAGATCAAAGTCCAAGCATGTCCCCTGAAAATAACCCACCAGTGATAATTAAATTGTCCTGTGGGCTCAGTTAGATCTTCACTGACAGTTAGTGTGCTGTCAAGGAATGCATGATTTGCTTTCTCCACAAAAGGCTCTGGACTTGCCACATTTTATGAGGCAAGGAAGATTAGGGATAAAATGGTGCTGCCCAGATTTTAATCCTGTGGGCTAGGGATCCCTCTCCATACCAGAAAAGACCTTTAGCAACAGTTCCAAGACAGGAGTCTACCTAAACAGGAGGCACCCTGCTCTCTCAAGCCTATATAAATTGAATAGCCAACTGAGAAATTTAGAGAGAAGATTGCCCATTAAAATTTAAAGTGCCCATATTAGACTAGAGAATAAATATAATTTTTGGGAACTTATGGCAGAGGGAACCTCCCCTGAGAACTACCTAGTATGCTTGCTGTGGTTAGTGCTTGAGGGGCAGCAAAGCCTGAAATTACAAGGCAGCTAGAATTGCAGCTATTTAGGGAGTCAAGATTGTTATTCTTTTGTTTAAGATGCAGCTGCTTACTCACCTGAGTACTTGTTCTAATCTTTCATTTAGGAAGAAAACACCATTCAAATAGAGATGCTGGAGCTTCACCAGATGGGAGAACTGGGGTATGATTTTTCTAATATACCATACATTCATTTCTCAGTTCCTAATTGATTCCAAAGACATGAAGATATCATTGAGATGGAGTTTCTGAAGGTTTTTAATCTGACCCAGGCCAGGGGCAAACGTTGCAAGGGTTCTCATGTCCCAGTGACCATTCACCACCAACTCCAGTATAAATCTTGGTTCAAATACTTCCAGCAGCCTAACAGGGTTATAGGCTGGGATGGTCCCAAACTCCAGCTTTTCACAGATCACCTGCAGCACTTCTTTTCTCTGAATGGCCCACAAGCAGAAATATTTTAGGTATTTGCAGAGATATCAGGACTTGAGGGAAAGGTTCATCATCACAGTAAGAACATGTTTTCCCTGTTGTAGGCGATGATCCACCGCTGGTTGTTTCTCATTAACATCTGGGGAAAAGACACCATCCTCTTATCCAGCCCACCAATTCCAGAAGTTATGTTGGGCATCCCGAAGATCAAGGACTTCTTGTTTGCAACTCCTGTTTGTCAAATGAGAAGTAGAATCAAATGACAAGACTATCAACAGGTAATCTGTCTTGACCACACACATCACTTTGCTTCAGTCCATTCTTTAAACAAAGAGGAAGAAGAGGCAAAGGTAGAGTCATTGTAAGTTGACTACTACTATTAGCATTGTGCTCCATACACCACAGTCCTTTCTCA